CACTATGTTTGTGTTTGATCACAAGTATACATACTTACCACATAAATTATTGCTTATCAATAAATACATTAATACTTAACACAAATATACAGGTTAGGGCATTGCAGTAAAAAAAAAAAGGCTGTAATCAGCTAAATTAGAGGAAGAACATACTTAATTTTATTGACTTGTCCTAAGGTAAAGTTATGCTTTTGGGGGGCAGGGAGTTTTTCCTTCCTCTTTTACATGGATGGATATCCAAGGAACTAAGAATAGATGACTTCCCCTTTTTTACTAGTTTGTGCCCAGTTAAGAAACCGTTCCATTACACAAGCATTCCTTGGCCTCCCAGATGTCATTTTTCTGTTTGTAGTTTTCAGTGATGTTGGTTAGAAATATATCGATTTGTTAAAATGATTTCTGGGCTTCTGAGAAAGGAGAAATAATTCCCTTTTATAACTATTTTCATTTGCCCTGTGCATGCCTCTGTGTGTGTGTGTGTGTGTGTATACTCGTGTGCACATGCATACGGGTATGCATGTGTGTGTGTCAGTAGAATGATCTTGGACATTGTGACCAAATGATCATGCAAAGCCATAGCTCTGTCACTAAATCTAATCAGACACCTTTTATCATGGAAGATTATGTTCCTGAGATTGGATGTTTACGAAAAGTGTATTCAAGGCTGATGACGGTGGCTCACGCCTGTAAATCTCAGCACTTGGGAGGCCAACGCGGTGGGTCACTGAGGTCAAGAGTCCGAGACCAGCCTGGTCAACATGGTGAAACTCTGTTTCTACTAATAATATAAAAATTAGCAGGGCATGGTGGTGTATGCCTGTAATCCCAGCTACTTGGGTGGCTGAGGCAGGAGAATCACTTGAACCTGAGAGGCGGAGGTCGCAGTGAGCCAAGATCATGCCACTGCACTCTAGCCTAGGTGACAGAGCCAGACATTGTCTCAATAATAATAATAAAGCATATTCAGGTGAGATGAAAAACCCATTGACATAACTTAAGATCCAAATAAATGCAAAATCAAGAGACCATTCAGGTAAAAATCGCAGCGTCTCATCGGTAGAAGAGCATGAAATGAGAGGTCGCGATAGGCTACAGACCCACAAATTATAAAGTCCCTGTTACAGACTACAATAATGTTCAGGATGCTCTGTCACCATGCCCAATGAGAGCATGCCTATCCTGAAAATTACATGGAAAGATAAACCCCAGATTTAGATAGCTTGAAAAGATAGTTTCCTTTGTGTTATGTTTTTCTGCCAGGAGAAGAATGTGTATTAGGTATACAAAGGTTTCAGAGAATAAAATCTTCAGGATTAACATTCTGTGAGGAGAGTGTACCATATCTGGTATTCTACGTATGTTTAAGAAAGTAGAATGTACAAGAAATTTGGACCTATATGTTATTCTCTGGAGTAAGTGTTTATGAAAGTTGGGCCTAATTTGACATTAGAATTACTAAGGCAACTCCTCCGCACTCTACTTTGTCTCAGCAGACTCCTCCAAAGCCCCTTTTCCCGACCCCCACCCGTTCCTCAAGTATAAAAGTGATTTACACAGTGACTCAGATCAGGACAGTTGAAGGTCCAGTCAAAGGGACACCATGTACGTCCACACTGCAGGACCGTACAAAATGGTGGTTGTCTGGGCCAGGTGCTCACACCTATAACTGCAACAGTTAGGGAGGCAAAGACGGGAGGATCGCTTGAGCTCAGAAGTTTGAGACCACTCTGGGCAGAGCAAGACCCCATCTCCACAAAAAGATTTTTAGGCTGGGTACAGTGGCTCACGCATGTAGTCCCAGCTCCTCGGGAGGCTGAGGCAGGGGAATCACTTAAACCCAGGAGGTGGAGGTTGCAGAGGTTGTGCCACTGCACTCCAGCCTGGTGACAGAGCAAGATTCTGTCTCAAAAGAAAAAAAAATTTTTTTAAGTAGCTGAGTATAGTGCCACATGCCTGTGGTCCAACCTAGCTACTTGGGAGGCTGAGACGGGAGGATGGCTTGATCCTGGGAGGTCAAGGCTGCAGTTAGTTGTGATGATGTCACTGAACTCCAGCCTGGGTCACTGAGCTAGACCCTGTCTTAATGAAAACAACAAAACAAAACAAAATGGTCACCTGAAAGGGATCCTACTTCCACTGATGCCCAAAGTGAACGTGGGCCAGCTCTGGGCACCCCCCCCCAGCCCCCAAATGCCCAATCAGTCAGCACTGCCCATTCACAGAGGTAACTAACATTAAGAATCTTGTTTGTTTATTTACTTACTTTACAGTAGCTCTTAGAACATTTCACATTTATCAAAACTTTCTACCTCTGTGGATTTTGTTAGGACTGAGAGCAAATCATACTTTCTACTCACTTCCTTAAATAAAAATGATAAAAATAAGACAAAACCTAAATCTTCCTTTCATAAATAAGCTCAAACAATAAGAAAAGGATGATAAAATAAAAGTTTTACACTATCCCAATAGGTATCAGAGGTTTTGTTTCGTTTTTTGTTTTGTTTTTGAGACAGGGTCTTGCCCTGTCTCCCAGGCTGGAGTGCAGTGGCATGATCTGGGCTTACGGCAACTTCCACCTCCCGGGCTAAAGCAATCCTCCTACTTCAGGCTCCTCAGTAGCTGAGACTTCAGGTGCACTCTACCACGCTGGGCTAATTTTTGCATTTTTTCTGTAGACACCGGGTCTCACCATGAGGTCTGGAACTCCTGGGCTCAAGCAATCTGCCCGCCTTTGCCTCCCAAAGTGCTGGGATTACAGGTGTCAGCCACCATGCCTGCCAGAGTTTGTTTTTTTTTTTAAACTGCTCACGCATTTTCTGTCTTCCAATTGCTCTGTAAATGCTCTGATCTCAGTGTATTATGAACACAACAATGCCACATCAATTCTCTTAGATTGCGTGACACTAGTTCACAAGTTAACTGTGAGTTACTGGGGCCGGTGGCTCATGCCTATAATCCCAGCACTTTGGGAGGCTAAGGTGGGAGGATCACTTGGAGCCAGGAGTTTGAGACCAGATTTGACAACGTAGTGAGATCCCATTTCTACAATAAATTTTAAAAACTGGCTGGGCCTGGTGGTGCATGCTTGTAGCCCCAGCTACTTGGGAGACTGAGGCAGAGAACCCCTTGAGCCGAGGAGTTCAAGGTTGCAATGAGCTGTTATCCACCACTGCACACCAGCCTGGCTGACAGAGGGAGATCCTGTCTCAACAAAATTAAAAGGTAAATAAAAAATAAAATAAGAGTTAACAGCGAGGGAGTCTAGAGAGGCTTCTGGAACTTTAAGGTGAATATGAATCCCCTGGAAGTCTTGTTAAAATGCAGATTCTGACTCAGTCGGCCTCAATCTTGTTGGGGCCTGAGATTCTGCATTTCTATTAAGCTCCGAGAAGATGCAGATGTTCTTAGTCCCCTTCTCATATTGAGTAGCAAGGATGGTCGCAGTGAGTTAGACCAAGTCAGAACTAGAGTTGAATTTTGCTCTGGAGGCAAAAATGTATAAGGCAAGATCTCACAAGAAAAGTAAAGGCTTTCTGTAAGTGGGATTTTCCTTTCCTAAAAACATTCTGGGTGGTGGGGGTATGCAAGTTTTCCTCAAGTCACACAACACTGATGAATCTCTTCTATATTGGAACTACCCCCTTTTTCTTGGATCTCTGTCATTCAGTGTATTTATGGTGATTCCACCCCAGAATTCCTGAATCCCTTCAAATTTGGGTAAAAGAAAGGGGCTCTGGCAGGTGCGGTGGCTCATCCCTATAATCCCAGCACTTTGGGAGGCTGAGGCAGGCAGATCACCTGAGATCAGGGGTTTGACACCAGCTTGGACAACATGGTAAAACCCCTTCTCTACTAATAATACAAAAATTAGCCACTTGTCCTCCTGTAATCCCACTACTTGGGAGGCTGAGGCAGAAGAATCACTTGAACCTGGGGGGTGGAAGTTGCAGTGAGCCGAGATCACGCCATTGCACTCCAGCCTGGAGGACAGAGCAAGACTCCTTCTCAAAAAGAAAAAAAAGAGGGGAGGGTTCTTTTCTCAAGGTGGGATCCTGCAAAGTTTGGCATAGCAGTTGTTTATTTAAATAAACTCTTCTGATAATAAACCTTTAGGGCAGGGAATTTTGAGGCTAAGATGAAAGAAAGCCCTGGCTGAAGAAACAATGAACAAAGCCATTCAATTGTCACTTCAGTGCTGGTGAGTGTGGATGCAAGTGCCCAGTAAGGCCTGACAGCAACATCCCTCAGGGTGAGTTATAACCCAGGCATCAAAGAAGGCCATCTCAACGCCCAGCTGCCAGGAGGAAAAGGAGTCAAAGGAAAAAACAAGGGTGGGGCCCAGAGGCAAAACGTGCTCTCACTTTCATCAGGAGCTAGGATCAGGTGGGTGGATTACCCAGCCCTTGGCTCGAGTTCTGGAGGATTCAGATTCGAGATGTTGGATCAAAACAATGAAAGACAAGGCTGTAGAGAGCCATGCTGGAAACACAGGCCGAATTCTACTCACTGTTGCTCTACCCAATGTTGTGGTTACTACTGAGTGCTTCCTCTGTTTGTTTGTTCTTCTGCGGCAACCTTTGTCCTCTCTGCCCAGACACTCATTTTCCTGGTGGGACACTTTGAGTTCCAGAAAGAAGACAAGATGAGCGACTGAGGCTCAGGGAGAGATAATGACTGCCCCGTATGCAAAACCACAATGCCTGGCCACCAGCTAGAGCCCCACACTTGGAAACAGAAAGAAATCCTGAGGTTTCTAGACACCAAACCCACTGGGACCATACAACTTCAGACAAAGCCGCTGCCTTTCTTGGGCACAGCTTACAACTCTCTAACGTGGATCACGGCGGAAGCCCGAGGCCATGTGTACTGTAGCAGTCGGGGAGGGTGTGTGGTGGAAAAAGTTAAAAAAAAAAAAGTTTCCATGCTTTTGAAGCCCGAGTTGAAATAAGGAGAGAGGAAGAAGCTGAGAAAAGCAGGAACTAATAGGGCTGCTGACTCACCGGGCAGAATCTCAGGTTCAATTGCTCTCAGCACAAAATTATCTCTCTCCAATCAGTTCCACTATTTTCACCTATCCAGCTGATAGCCTAAAAATAGAGATTAATGTGGAGCATTATCTTTTAAAAATGCACTTCCGTCTGGGAATGGTAATAAGCCATCAGCCATTCTCACGTTGTTGTGAATTAGTTTCATTAGTCAGTGGGGATTAGAATGAAGGAAATTTAGAAAGTAATCAGCCTTTATTTGACACACGAGGAAATGATGGTCCAGAGATGGGAGCTTCAGGCTTGAGATCACACAGAAGGTAAACAGCAAACAGAGTTAGGCTGCAACTACTGCAGATTCACATTCACCTGGCACTAATTATGACTGATATCTATTTATTTATTTGAGACTGTGTCTTGCTCTGTCACCTAGGCTAGAGTGAGTGCAGTGGCTCCATCTGGGCTCACTGCACCTCCACCTCCACCTCCCAGATTCAAAGGATTTTCATGCCTCAGCCTCCGGAGTAGCTGGGATTACAGGCATGAGCCACCGCGCCTGGCCATGACTGACATTTAAAATAGTCATCTGTTGAGCATCCCTAGCATGCCAGGAGCAGGAGGAAGAGCTGGAGACCCAATAGATGTGGCTGTCACCTCACGGAGCATGTAGTCCAGCTGGGAGACTGATAAGTGAATACAGGATCAAGGACCACTCCCAGTAAATGAGGCAACTGTGACTTCTGCTACGTTATGAAGAAAGAAAACAAGACATAGAGATCAAGAAGGAGAACTATTTCAGATTAGGTGGCAGAAGAGGCCTCAGGGCATTTCAGCTGGGATCTGGAGGATGAGAAAATGCCAACCTCCACAGGAGAGTGTGAATAAGTTTAAAAGTTTGAGGAAGAAAGCTACATGAGGTCCAGTAACTGACAGAAGGTCAAGGTGCTTCACATTGGACTTTCCAGATATGGGTTCAAATCCTGGCTCCATAGCCTACCAGCTCTGTGGCCTGTGTACCTCCTGAGTTCTGGGATTCTTGAGGTCATAAGAGATAGTGGTTAGATACATTGTCTTCATCTAACCTCCTTTGGGATTAGAATTCATCTATTTGCATTTCACTTGACTTCTGTTTTGGATACTTATTGCTAAGTTTCCTATGCTGTACAGCGACATTTTTCAGTTCTGAGGAATATAAAAATGTCTTTTACTCTCACGTTGACTTTTAAAACTCTAACACTTAGACACTGCTAACTCTGTGACTTCATTTTAAGACCCTGACACTGTTCCAATTATACATCATATTTTTATTTCATTGTACAGTTACTTGATAGTACTGAAAAAGATACTAATCCTCTTGACTCTGATTTTAATATCATCCGTTACTCTGTATTTTAATTTCTGCTGCCACTAACAAATGGTAGCTTCTGTACATTTCTGAAACTGCTCCTTAGAGATGGAATGAAATGGATACCTTTGGAGATCATGGAAAAGCTCAAAGCAAAATTTATTTTATTGTTCTGTTGTTTTCTTGTGAGTCCCATTAGGATGGTTCCTGCTCCATTCAATCTTTGTTTATTTCTTTTAACTTTCAGTTGATGTGTAACATACAGAAAACAGTGTAATAAATTTTCACAAATTGAACACACCTATGCAAACAGCAGCACCCCAGTCAAGAGATGAAGAGATGGGTGAAGGTTATCTACACTCCAGAAGCCCTTTCTTGACCCCCAAGATACAAAACCTTTTAAGGGAGACCATTATTACGACTTTTAATTGCCTATAGTAGTTTTGCTTGCTTTTGAACCTTTTATAAATGGACCCACAAAATATGTATTCTTTTGTCTCTGATTTATTTCACTCCACGTTTGCCATAATCATTCACATTGTTGCTGTAGTTATAGATCACTTATTGTAGTTGCTGTATAGTATTTCACTGTGGGAAAATACTACGATTTATTTATGTGTTTTATAGTGGCTGGGCTTTAGACAGGGTTCCAGCTTGGGGCTGCTACAATTAGGGCTGCTATGAAAATTCTTGGACATGCCTTTTGGTGGACATGTGCGTACATTTCTATTTAATATATAACTGGGAAGGAAATCACTAGGTCCACATGAACTTGAATTTTATTTACATGTTCTTTAAGCAATTAACATGAACATACATATGCCTTAAAATATTCAAAAGTCACAGAAGAGTGTACAATAGAAAATAGCTGTTCCTCTGACTCCTGCCCACCAACCACTCCATTCTCTTCTAAGAAGCTTACTGTTATTTGTTGCTCATTAAAAAATGCGTGTGTATATATGTACATGTGTGTATACGAACATATATGTACACACATATGTATACATATACACACATATGTACACATCTATGTATATACACATATGTACATTTACACACATACATACATGTATATTTATACACACACACACATATATATATATAGCACTGGGCACAGTGGCTCCCACCTGTGGCACTTTGAGACACTGAGGCAGGCAGATCACTTGAGCTCAGGAGCTCGAGACCAGCTTGGCCAACATAGCTAGAGCCAGTCTCTACTAAAAATAAAAAAATTAGCTGGGCGTGGTGGCACACGCCTGTAGTCACAGCTACTTGGGAGGCAGAGGCACAAGACTCACTTGAATCCAGGCAGCAGAGGTTGCAGTGAGCCGTGATCATACCAATGAACTCCAGCCTGGGCAACAGAGTGAGACTTTGTCTCAAATAACTAAATAAATAATAAATAGGTAAATAAAAATAAAAATAGCTTTTTTCTTTCATTTTTGGAACTATCAGATTTTATCAGTTGCAAGGACAGCTTTTTTTTTTTTTTTTTTTGCAGACGGAGTTTCACTCTTGTTGCCCAGGCTGGAGTACAGTGGTTCAATCTTGGCTCACTGCAACCTCTGCCGCCTCAGTTCAAGCGATTCTCCTGCCTCAGCCTCCCAACTAGCTGGGATTACAGGCATGCGCCACCACATCTGGCTAATTTTGTTTTGTTTTGTTTTGTTTTTAGTAGAGATGGGGTTTCTCCATGTTGGTCAGGCTGGTCTTCAACTCCTGACCTCAGTGATCCACCCACCTTTGCCTCCCAAAGTGCCGGGATTTCTGGCGTGAGCCACCACGCCTGGCCACAATGGCAGCTTTATAAACACATCCTACTTGATTGAATTTTGGTCCTAATAATACTAATAAACCACGTGTGAACATTATAGTTTATAACATACTTTTATCTACTCTCACTATTTAATCTTCTCCTAAACTGAGTATGTAGGCACAGAGTTAAGATAACTGTTTAACAGATGGGATAACTAAGCCCCAGAGAAGTCAGTCCTTTGCCTAAAAACATGTTGGGTTTCAAAAGGCAGAATTAGGAGTAAGTCCAGATTTCTGGCTAAAACTAGGTAACTAGTTTTAGTTATCTCCTGCATTAAGGAATCAGAGCTAATATCTGACAGCAGCAATGTCAAAACTGACAGTGCCTGGGTACCTAGGGCTCCTGTGTCTCTTGGGAGCCACAGCTGCCCAGGAATTTGTGCTGGACCCAAGCCTCCTTTAGCCCAAAGTTCCAGAGCTCCAAAGGGTAGAGTTCTAGGGACCTTGAAAGGAGAGGGTGAAACTCTCATGGCCCCGACAAAGGCTGGAGATCCCGGTGCTCCTTTCCTGCCAGAAAGTCATTTAATTAGATAAATGTGGGTATTTGGGTTTTGCATATTTCCCGAGAGACAGCTTAAAAAAAATTACCTACTAATGATGACCGAGCTAACTTACCTCCACTCCCCTGCTTGTTTGTGCGCTTGAGGTCTCATGCTTCGAAACTGATTCATTTCCTCTTTTTCTTTTAGTTTCCTTTCTCTGTCGCCGTTTTTTTTTTCTCCGAAATAAAAATGGTTCTGTTTATAATTGCAGAATTCTGGTTGCAATTTGGCCTGTCACGTTTCCAGCCAAGCACTGTGGCTTGCAAAGTTACCCAGGAAAGGCTTCTGTGTTTGAAACGAAGAATGCACCATTTTAAAATCTACTCCAGGGATTCTCAGGGTGGAACTGCTCCACTTACTTGCCCTATTCCCCTCATTTTGGGGATGGTCTTTTGACTTTGTTCGCAGTGTTATTTTACTGATCCAAGCTTTTATATTCCTAGGAAGTCAAATGTGTCCTTGGGATTTACTCTTCACAGCAGGCTTTCAAAATCCAGTCCAATCCTAAAATGAAGAAAATATTCACCTATGATTTAAGAACTTTTTAATGTGTTTGACAGTTATATTTAAACATGTTAAATTTTGAAATTTGTTTCGATGCAGATAATGAGGTAGAAAACTGACATTTTTTTCTGAATGTGTAATCAATTGTATTAAAACCACTTATTATTCCATAATTCCAATTCATTTTATCTTCACTGAATTGAAATGCTACCCCCATCATATACACCATTCCCAGATTTTGAGGTCTGTATCTTTAGCTCTCTGCTCTGCTGAACTATTTAGTACTGTCTTTATATTCGCTTTGTAATATTTTAAAGGGTAGGGGTGGTTCTCTGCGGGATTTTTGCATTCCTAAAAAAGTCTTCATAGCAATCTAAGTGAAATTGCATTGTGTTTGTAGAATAATTGGGCCGAGGAATGTCTTCTCATCCAGAAATCACTCTTCCATCATGTCGTTCAGGACACAAGCAGGATTCTTCATTGAGGTTTCCCATATGTCTTAGTAAGCATATTGATAATTTTTATTTTTTTCAGAGATGAGTTCTTGCTCTGTTGCCCAGGTTGGAGTGCAGTGGCACCATCACTGCTCACTGCAACTTCAAACTCCTGGTCTCAAGCGCTCCTCTTGCCTCAGCTTCCTAAGTAGGCAGGACTACGGCTGTGAGTCACCACACCAAGCATATGTATATATATGTTGCTAATTGAATGGTGCTGTTTAAAAACCTTGCTTTTTCTAACCGATTATGACTGAACAATAGTCTGTCATTGCTGAACTATAACAGACTATAAGAAGGCTGTTTTCTTTTTCTTTTCTTTTTTAGAGATGGGATTTCACTATATTGTCCAGGCTGGTCTCGAGCTCCTGGGCTCAACTGGTCCTCCTGCCTCACCCTCCCAAGTAGCTTTGTCTTTCTCAAACACATTGAGCACCTTCCTCCTTCATTCTCCAGGTAGGATGTAGGCACGAGCCTTACAGGCATGAGCTGCTCAGCTCAGAGTCAAAGTCTGTTTAAAAAACTAATGTGGTATCTGGCCTGATTGAAATCTCATGATTTCTAAGGTCTTTCTCATTTTTCAATTCTCATTCTCCCTCTCTTCTCTCTCTTACTCACTTCCCATCTGTCCCCTTCTCCACATCAATGGTTTGGGGCATGCTCTCCTGGGCACTGGCCCCTCTTCCACCCTATCTGGACATAAGAACAAACTGTCACTCACATTTCCCCTTTTGCTGTGGCAATTGGATTTGATACTAGGGCAGCTGGAGAACTCTGGCATTTAAAGAGAGCAGGGACTCTGTCTTTTAAAAATAAAAATCTGGGTCGGGCCTGGTGGCTCATACCTGTGATCCCAGCACTTTGTTAGATTGAGATGGAAGGATTGCTTGAAGCCAGGAATTTGAGACTAGCTAAGGCAACATAGCAAGGTCCCATCTCTATAAGAAATAAAAAATTAGCTGGGTGTTGTGGCATATGCTTGTAGTCCCAGCTTCTCTGGAAGCTTAGGTGGGGAGGATCATGTGAGCCTAGCAGTTCAGAGGCTGCAGTGAGCTATGATGGCATCTCTGCCCCCAGCCTGGGAAACACAGTGAAACCCTGTCTTAAATAAATAAACAAAAATAAATCAAAAACAAAAATTTATCCTTTCGAAGCCATGGAAAGAAGAGCTTTAAGAAGGGACCTGGGAACATTTGTATTAAAGAAAAGCACTCTGGCTGCAGCAATGAACAGATGAAAGAGGGGCGGGTCTGGAAGCAGGAAGACCTAATAGGAGGCATCTGCAGCAGTTCAGGTGCGAGGAAGCGATGTCTTAGACCATGGAAAGAAATGGACAGAGCCTACAGACATTCAAGATGACTTCACCTTGATTGGTTGTGGGGTGACAAAGAGGGAGGGTCAGAGAGGAAGACCTGGGCCTCTGGCTGGAACAGCCAGAGGGGTGTTGAAGATGGCCCTGGGTATGGAAACCACAAACCTACCTGGAGGAGGAAGGAGGAAGGTGCTCAGGTGTGTTTGAGAAAGAAGGCCAGGAGCTGGGTGCAGTGGCTCATGCCTATAATCCTAGCACTTTGGGTGGCCGAGGTGGGCGGATCACCTGAGGTTGGGAGTTCGAGACCAGTCTGACCAACATGGAGAAATTCTGTCTCTACTAAAAACACAAAATTAGTTGGGTGTGGTGGTGCATGCCTGTAATCCCAGCTACTCGGGAGGCTGAGGTAGGAGAGTGGCTTGAATTCCAGAGGTTGAGGTTGCAGTGAGCTGAGATCACGCCATTGCACTCCATCCCAGGCCACACGAGGGAAACTGTCTCAAGGAAAAAAAAAAAATGAAGACCAGGGGAGGTTGGATCAGATGTCTTGATCTCCCACTGCCTTCCCAAGGCCTGCAGTTGCTCTGTTTTTATTTTTTATTTTATTTCATTATTATTTCTTGAGACAGGTTCTTGCTCTGTCACCCAGGCTCTATAATCCCATCTCTACCAAAAATACAAAATGTAGCCAGGCATGGTGGTGCATGCCTGTAGTCCCAGCTACTTGGGAGGCTGAGGTGGGAGAATGGTTTGAGTCTGGGAAGCAGAGGTTGTAGTGAGCTGAGACTGCACCATTGCACTCCAGCTTGGATGACAGAGCCAGACCCCATCATAGAAAAATAAACAAACAAATAAATAAAAAGGATGCAGCCCCCCTCAACTTCCGAATCTATCTGCTAGAGTGAAATTATATCTCTTACTAAAGGCAGCAACCACTGATATCTACACAGCTGGATAATAATTCTGCATGCTGGTAGTAACACTCAAAGCTTCTGCAAACTCAGAGCATCTTCTAATTATCCGGTCCCTTCTTCTCAACACATGTATCTTATCTTCTTCCTGCTTCCTCTTGTAAATCACGACTATCTTTTCCCCCATTCCATGGGGCAACTGTATTTGCTCGCACGTGCCTGTGTGTGTGTGTGTGTGTGTGTGTGTGTGTGTATTACTACTGTTTTCATCCTGTTTGCCTAAGTATCTGGGAGGCCTAGGATTCTTTTGCCTCCTGAGGATAATAAAGAAGATTTTTTTTTTCCTTTCCCTACACAGATTGTTTAAATTGTAAGACAGGCTGGGTGCTGTGGCTCATGCTTGTCATCCCGGCACTTTGGGAGGCCGAGGTGGGTGGATCACTTGAGGCCAAGAGTTGGAGACCAGCCTGGCCAATATGGTGAAAACCTGTCTCTGCAAAAATTTGTCCGGTATAGTGGTGCACACCTATAGTCCCAGCTACTTGGGAGTTGAGGCACGAAAATGGCTTGAACCAGGAGGCGGAGGTTGCAGTGAGCGGAGATTGGGCCATTGTACCCCAGCCTGGGCAGCAAAGCAAGACTTCATTGCCAAAAAGAAAAAAACTTGTAAAACATAACACCAAACCAGAAAAGCAATAAAGTAGTATAGATTAGTAGTTCATTTTACATTATTTGTCACTATTAATAAATCATTATAAATTTTTTCACTTAACTGGTGAAAATATTTCCATGTCACATAATTTCACACATCAATTAAAATCTATTTTCTATTATTTGCTGCTAATTCACAAGTACACTGTGTCCCCAAATCCTTATAATGATTCTGTTAAAGTGCTGAGATGAGAAGAGACCACAAAGTTTTTTTCTCTGTTTCTCACATTTTATAATATGCTTATATGGTGTACTAATAGAAATTAAATTTACTTTCAAGCTCCTTCAGGGCACTTACTGAAAACCTGCTTTGCCTTCTGAGTAGGAAGCCGGGGTGTGGGTGGAGGGTGGAGTCACACCATAACTTCCAACTAAGGATATGTAGGACACACACTTTCTTGGCTGGCAGAGGTCCTGAGCCTGGTCCCTCAGAAGTCATCTTACTCCTTGTCTATACTGTGCTTGAATATTTCAGGCTGTTTTAAATTCATTGTCAAGTGTACTAAGAGCCTTATGATTTGCAAAATATGTATTTTTTTGTTGTTGTTGTTTGAGATGGAGTCTTGCTCTGTCTCCCAGGCTGGAGTGCAGTGGCACAATCTTATCTTACTGCAACCTCTGCCAACCAGGGTTGAGCAATTCTCCTGCCTCAGCTGAGCAGCTGGGGCTACAGGTGTGCGCCACATGCCCAGCTAATTTTTGTATTTTTAATAGAGATGGAGTTTCACCGTGTTGGCCAGGCTGGTCTTGAACTCCAGGCCTCAGATGATCTGCCCTCCTTGACCTCCCAAAGTGCTGGGGTTACATGGGTGAGCCACCACGCCCGGCCCAAATTGTAAATAGGATGAAAAATGTATGTATGTGCCAACAGCATGGGAACTAAAAATACCTATGATGATGTAAATGTAAACATGAAAAAAAAAGGGGGAAAAATGTATATATACAACTTTTTAAAAAGGGCAGTTGATACAACGAGATATTACGCTTAAATTCTGTTTCCCGTAAAGGATATGTTGAAGTCCTAGACACAAACCCCCACAAATTATGGATGTGAGTTTTTTGGAAATAGGGTATTGACACATGTAATCAAGTTAAAATGAGTTTATACTAACTTGTGGTGAACGCTAGTCCTCTAATCTGTTTTTTTTTTTTTTTTTTTTTTTTTTTTTAGATGGAGTCTCTGTAGCCCAGGCTGGAGTGCAGTGTCACAATCTCGGCTCACTGCAACCTCCAGCTCCCGCATCCTGGTTCAGGCAATTCTCCTACCTCAGCCTCCCAAGTATCTGGGATTACAGGCATGAGCCACCATGCCCAGCTAATTTTTGTGTTTTTTAGTAGAGACGGGGTTTTACCATGAGGGCCAGTCTGGTCTTGAACTTCTGACCTTGTGATCTGCCCATCTCAGCCTCCCAAAGTGCTGGGATTACTGGCGTGAGCCACGGCGTCTGGCCTAATGTTTTTATGAGAGGGAAATTTGGACACTGGCACACAGGGGAGAAGGTCATGTGAAGACAGAGTGCAGTGACACATCTACAAGTTAAGAAATGCCAGGACTGTAG